TGCGCACCCGCTGCCGGCGGCCTGCGCTGGCTGCGGCTCCGGGGCTCGGCGCCTCCGCCCCGGGAGCGGGGAGCCAGCCCTGCCCCGGGCCCGGCGAGCCGCTGTCACGGGCGCACGGGGAAGCGGTTTGTCTCAGCTCCCCGCAGCGTCTCTCAGCCCCTGTCGCGGGTCTTCAGTTGGCGCTTAATGACGGAATTGAATGACATCAAACTTTGGAAAGCTTCGGAGACTGTCCTTTAAACGTTGTAGTGTATATGTGCATCTTTAACCAGAGTCCTTTACCTTTTTAAATTAGAGGTGACTCTACAGTGGAACAGAGAAGGCTGAGTAACATATTACTGTTCTGCAGTGTGGAGCAGCAATTAGTATAATTTAGAAAGAACATAGGAAACAGTTGTTTGTTGAACAGAACTATTGTTTCTTTTTTCGTTCTGCAAAATAATTGTCTACGGATTTAGTATTTTGTTATTGAACACAATTTGGTGTTGACCCTGTCTAGTGGTAGCACGAAAGTGCCTTCTGTGGTTTCCTCCACAAACTTGTGTAGTGATTACTATGTTTGAAACACTTTGTTAAAGAGTTTAAAACCCAAAGGCTGACAACTTAAGAAAGGAAGGCAGATGGATGTGTATGAGGCACTTTACGTTTTATGTTCTATTTTCTGTAGCAGTCTGCACGCATAGTATAGTTTTGAAACTGTTGAGTGCTGGTGTTTAAAAGTTGGGTGCTGGCAAGGCTGTAGAATTGCTACTTTTTACATGATGCTACACACCACTAAAAAAAGTAGAAAGCTGTTTACTCATGGAGCTTGTCTTGCATGTGGCAGCACTAAGCCAACAACCATTATTCTTTTTACCCTTCTCAGAATTTTAAGTATCTGCAAATCATTAGAAATGGCCCTTTAGTCACAGACTTCATTCTTAAAGTGCTGTATATTTCTGTAACTGAAACAGGCCTACGTGTGGATTTTTTTAAAATCGGGAACAACTTGATTTTAAACTAGGAGAAATGTGATTTGATTGCATAGTGTCAAAAATTGCAACCCAAGACAGGCGATTTCTTAAGCTTGTGAGCTGTGCCTAAAGTCAGTGGTACTGAGGGTAATAGTGGCAATCAGCAGCAAAGCAATGCAATCAACGTTTCATTAATGGGGGACATTAGAGGCAGAGTTAGCCCAAGCAATCCATACAGCTGGTAATAGTGGTATTGTGAAAAACTAGGAGAGAGTTGTTGAAGAGATCCTTAGCTGCTCAAAGGTGATGCTGGTGCACTAAGTTGTCTTAATTTTTATGTGATTTCAGCCAATTGAAAGTGTCTGGACCAGAATTACCATTATTCCGAGGAAGGTAGTTGGCCATCTAGACTGTGTTGCCTGCCATGCATCCAAGCAAACTGTGGGGATTTTGACAGGGAGTAGGGGCTGAGGGTGTGTTATAAAAAGGGAGAAGAAGAGCCTGAGATAAGTACTTAGGTTGTGTCTGACAGCAAACCTGGCTACAGTGATGCTAGAGACAGCTGTAATCTGGAAGCAGTACACCAAATTTATTGCTGTCCTAAAGATGGTACTAAGTAGGTAGAACTAATATATCCTGCCTGACTTGTGTTTTCACTGTGCAGAGCTGTTCTGAAAGTCACTGTGGTGCTAGAATTGGAGAGTTGTGTGGAGTGGAAAGAACTGGTTAAAGAGGGTGAGCTTTGGCCACACTGAACTTGTCATATTCTGTCTCAATGTCTGAGCAGTCAGGCAGACTCTGGCTTCTCTGCTTGTCTCTGGCTTTGGGTGCCATTGGCTGCAGTGCAGCACCACATCTGGCTGCAAACCTTCCCAGAGTGCTGGGTGCATGATGTAGGATTACCTGAATGATTCTGCAGGAGCCAGCTTGATTCTGGAATGGATGGTGATGACTCAGGTAATAAACTCTTCTGCACCCAGCCCAAGTTAGTGGTGTCTTCTCTGCACTTATCTGCAGCGCTTCAGGTTGGATGACTGTGGTTGAAAATACTTGGTGTTTCACTGCATTAGTTGGAATTCAGGTCCTGTCTGTGCTTCTGCTTCTCTGTAGTGGCTGTATTGCTTCCTGAGCTGCCCTGGAGGAGAGTGGGCTGAATTTAATGCTAATTAAGTAGTTAACCCTGTCTACCAGACAGTAGTTTACTTTCTTTCCTTTCCCAACAGCATCCACAGTTTACTTGACTGGCTGATGGGCTGGACTTGGCTTGTCCAGTAGTTGGCTAGCAGGCATTGCTGGTGGCCTGACAAAAGCCTGCTTTGCAGGCTGGATCCAGCCCTTGGTTGGCTGTCCATTTGTATTCTAAACAAATTCCAGTTTGACTCCTGCCTGCTTTTGTGTCTGCTACCTGG